ATTCTCTGTGTTTAAATAAAATGGATAACTGTTAAATCGCCACCTGTCAAAAGGATAACTGTTAAATCGCCACCTGTCAAATGAACATGATACACCGGATTAATGTGTATACCATTAAATTCCTATATCCTCACGGTCAACCGCACAGTTCATCACAACTAGAAATTAAACTGCATTAATTACTAATCCTATTAATTGCTATTCGGTAACAAAGTTTATAATCTCCAACATCCAACTACAAACTTAAAGACCTCATTAGATTCCTTTAAAAAGAAAGACCTCATTATTGCCCACTTATAGCCAGCCAACTAGAGACCAGCAAGCATAACTGAGCTCTCAACAACCAAACTTCCCATCCATTTAAAATTTTATTTATAACCGGCGCTCAAACTTATCCTCGTTATAGAAAAAGAAAACACTTAGTTTGAAGGAAGAAGAGGAGAGGAGATGGCTGAATCAGTTGAGCCGGTGAGCCCAACAGGCCAGTATTTTAACAGCTCGGTGATGTCGGTGGATGTCGGTGGCCATATTGTGTGCGTTTGAGACGGATGTGATGATCGACGATTCACCGACAATGTCGACGCTTGAGAACTTGTTCTTGCCTATCAACCCTCGCTTCTCGTCCATCATGGTAATTAAGCAACTAGCTATAAGTCTCATGCTAATTCTTATCAATTTTATTTTTAGTAAAATCCATGCTTAGCGTGTACTGATCACTGTTTCAATATTACCTGTAGCCCAGCACAACTAGATCAAGATGTATGTAACTCACACTAGTACATCATATCTACTACTCTCTTGTCTCTGACTCTTAATGTTCATATAGGCTAATCAGGGGTTAGTCCACTAACTTCTTGTAGGTTTTTTTTTTTTTTTTTTTTTTTTTACAGTTTAACTCATTCGGAGCCCCGCCAGCGGCCCTGGTTCGATTCCCCTTGTTCCCTTCACATCTACAAGGAGCTACCCTTAACACCAGGGGCTCATCCCCACGGGCAGAGCGCGGGCGAGCAGCGTGGGGACCACTGAGACGCGAACTGGTGAGCATACAACGGACTGAGCTGGATTTGGTGACCAATAAAACCCCGGGTTTCCGTCCCCACCCTTAAACCAAGGGAAACCAGGTGAATGCGGCTACGAGGATTCGAACTCCTGACCAACAACGGGCAATAGCCTGGAACCATGAGTCCCACCCGCGGGTGGTCTTGTAGGTTTCTTTTCTCTGTTCATATAGGCTAATAAAGGGGTTGAATCTTGTTTGGGAAAAAAGTACAGAATTGATCTATATTTTCCGTTTAAATTTTCTGTTTTTGTTCTACCACCTACCTGCTCCACAACTAAATTGATTTAGGGCCGCAAAGTACTCATGAAAAGTGCTATGGAAGAATTAGATTCCATTAATACTTTTTTTCTTTTGCTTGATTGAAATAAAAGAAACAAGAAAAAGTACACGTGGGACCCATGTTTAGAGATGTAAATAAGTGCATTGGGGCGAATGGAAATGGGCTGAAAACATGAAAATGTGGTTGTCCATCGTGATTATTTGGTTTCTTTCTTGAAAACCATTTTTTCATGGTTTTCAACAAAGTACCCAAACATGCCCTTAGTGAAAAACCAAACAAGAGAGGAAATGAATGACTTCACTAGTAAATAGACTTCCCTAAATTAAACCTTTTAGGGCTTGTTTGGAGTGAGGGGAATGAGGGTGAAGGGAAGTTAGGGGAACCATTCACCTCCATTCACCTTGTTTGGGAACACATAAGAGGTGAAGTTAATTCACCCTAGTTCTCCTTGGTTCACCCCCTAATAGTATAAAAATTGTTACTCCCCAATTTGGGGTGTAAACAAGGGGAAGGGAACTCCCTTCCTTTCCCTTCCCTTCCCTTCACTCAGTTTTCCTTAACTTCCCTTCACCCCCTACAAATCCAAACAGGCCCTTAAGGTGTACTTGGCAACTTAACACTACTCTGGTTAAGGTCTTAACCAGGTTAGAATTGAACCAAGTTAGGTGTGGTCCAAAGATAACCTAGATAAGTGTTTTTTTTAACTAAAAGGAACTAGTTCTAGCTAGCTTGTACAAATTTTTGCTAAAATACATTTTAGACTTTTATCATCCAAGTTAGTGGAGCACGTTTTAGACTTTTATCCAACTTAGCGAATGAGTTGCTAATACAAGCTATTAGCATTGGCTATCTTAATTTAGCTAGGCATGGAGGCACAATGATTCTTAACTCTATGCATGTGGTAAGGTCTACGTACCAACCAACACTAGCTGCCTTCATATTTAAGGCTACGTAATGAGTATACTGTGTACAGTAGTTGGTTGGTAGCCTTGAATGAACTCAGATTTCATGTCACTATATTAAAATTGGGCTCTTTGGCCCAGCTCACAGTGCTAGTATACTGTTGGTGAATTTGGTATGTTTATGTTCTTAATCATAAGGCCATCAAATTTGACTGTATATATAATCACTGTTCATAATTTCAGATCACTATCTACTTTTTCAATCATAACCAGTAGATTGTAAACTTTTAATCCTCGGTTCTTATTATAACTTTAGAATTTCCTCACAACAAAATCTTTTTACACTTTATATCATAGAAGCTCAGGATCAAATCCCAACGAACACATATTTAGGGTAAATATAAGAATAGTTCTTTAAATTTTTTATAACTAAATATTGTCGGGTGCTGATTTTAAACTCTAAGTCAAATCAGGATTTGAAGACTAGGCCTAGTTTTACTATTTTCTTGGAGTCCAAATTTACTTGATGTGTAGGTTAGAGGTGTCTATAAATAAGGTACCATATTCTAGGATTTTTCGTAAGAAGGGCAGAGGGTGGTTGTGGGTGGGGAGGAGACAATATTCTTAAAATTATGGTTTAATAGTGGGTGTAACTAGGGTAATGTGAGAGAGAGGGTTTCACATTCTTTATCTATTTAAAATACTGTAATTTGGTGGTGGTGGTGGATTGTTTTCGATCCTATGATTTTTTCCTATTAAAGATTTTCCACGTTAAATGTTGTGCTTGATTCTATTTACTGCGTTTGGTGATTTACAGAGTTTTTATGAAATCTAAAAATCCCAACAAATAATTTAAATTTCTAAAACGCCTATCATTCACATACAACTTACTGCAAATTAGTCCTTATGCTAGATTTTACAACAGACATACAAGATATGGGACATATTTTCTCAAGAAGCTATACTTAAGAGATTATTTGAGTGAAAAGAGGGCCTTAACCCATAGAATGTGAAAAATATTTACATGCATGTTAGTAGTTTGATACCGAGAGGTACACAAGAAGAACACGAAGTCAAGATTTTCTGCAAAAATGTATGAGTAAGACTTCTATAAGTTCGAATAAATTTCAGATGATTTATGCGCTTTTTTCGTTATTCCCAAATGAACTAGAAGTTTGTCATCATTACACAATTAATTCCTCTCTTTTTTTCTTCTTCTTCTTTCCACTCTTGATTTTGTTGTTATTGTTGTTGTTGTTGTTTGTTTGTTGTTGTTCATGATCGCTATTTTCCCTCACATTGATTTACTTCTGCAGGTAAGGGATGGGAATGGAACTTCACAATGGAAAAGAGTCAAAGTAAACCTCGAAGATCACGTCTACATCCCAACATTTCCTCCCGGTCTAGACTCCTATGAGGAGCATATCTCCGACTACCTCTCAAACATCGCACTCGAACAACTACCCCAAAACAAACCTCTATGGAACATGCACCTAATCAAATACCCAACAAAAACATCCAAAGGCACATTAGTCTTCAAGCTACACCACGCTCTAGGTGACGGATTCTCTCTAATGGCTGCCTTGTTCTCTTGCATCAAGAGAGCCGATGACCCTTCATTGCCTCTTACATTTCCTTCGACGAAAATTACACAAAAGATGACAAAGAGCGTTGGAGCTATGAGTTATTTTGGGAAAGTATCAGGTGCATTTTCAGCTTGTGGAAACACGGTCAAGGATTTTGGGTGGAGTTTGATGAAGAGTAATTTTTTGGAGGATGATAAGACTCCGGTGAGATCAGGGACAGTTGGGGTTGAGTACCTGCCTATTAGTATTGTTTCCGTTCAGTTTCCGCTCGATGATGTAAGGGAGATCAAGATGAAGATTGGAGGGGTAAGCTTAATTATTATGCTACATTAGAGGGGTAAGCTTTATATCATACAATCTTTTGCACGGACAAACTCTGTCAAACCCTCTCTCTCTCTCTCTCTCTCTCTCTCTCTCATAATACTCTTTAATCTAGTTACAACCTCTGTTAAACCTTAATTACAAGAATATTATCTCTCTCACTCTCTCAACCTCTAAACCCTAAAATAGGGTGTCTTAATTAAAGACATCCTTGACCTGTCCACCAAGTTAACTTGGCCTCTAAGAAAACTATTAGGACTAGGCCTAGCTTTCAAACACGCATCCGACTTTGAGTTTGAGTCGGTACCCAACATATCCTCCCGTGACAAAAAATCTCCAAGTGTCTCAATGGCTTCAGAAAAGCTCACTATATTCTTCTTGTTCTTCACCTCCCTTGTGAACAGATGACCCATCTAAATAGCAAATATAGTTGCTATTCTTTCTCTCTCGCAAAATCAAATCACCGTTTTTATACACTTTACACCACTTTCCTTCATCCACATACTTGTACCCACGTGATGCCATCTTACCCAACAAAATTAAATTAGCATCACATGATGGCACATATCTCACATGATGAAGAATTCCGTCCTTTTCAGTGTGAAGCTTGAGGCGAACACTCTCATGCCTCCAACCTTCATCTTCTGGTTGTTTCTAACGATCACATCATCAAATTCTTCATTTGTCTTTAATGTGTCAAAATAATTTTTATTGTTACAAACGCGTATAGAGGCTACAGAATCTAACACCCATCTATTACTTGCATTAGTACATGTACTCTGCATCAACAGTATCACATCTTCATCACACATAACTATCAAGGAGTCCACCTTCTTTCCATTTTCTTGTAGCTTCATATGTCTAATACTCTTCAAATCATCTCGTATCTAAGAATATCTAAACTAAATGTGATAATTCTCTCCGTAATAATAGAACTCTCTTTCGCTGTCGTCTCGGGACTGAGTTTTTGATAATCCTCGAAAACTGTCACATCTCCCCTTACTCCTTCCTCGATTACAACCTTTAAAAGCCAGTGCACTCTCACCATTATTAGATGTGCTCTCCTTTCCCATAATTCTTTCATTCTCATGTATGAGTGTTGTCACATTATCGAACTTCAATGTCTTCTTCCTTACAAATATTGTCTGAACTAACGGCTTGTACGACTTCGGCAAAGAAGACAGTAGGAGTTATGCCTACTCTTCTTTTTTAATCTCCTCATTAATATTCATAAGTTGACAAACTAGCTGATTAAATGCATTGATGTACTCTTGAATTATAGTACCTTCTTCCATCTTCAAAGAATAAAGTTCCATCCTCAAACACAATCGTTTGGTCATTAAGTTCGACATGTAAATCACCTCGAGCCTTTTCCATAGCCTCCTTGGTATGGTCTCCTGCATAACATTATACTTGATCTCGAAGATGAGTGCCAAACGAATTGTGCTAACCGCCTACTTTTGTATATATGGAACTTTATTCAATATCCTTCAACCCTTCAGATTTCTTCTTCTTCAAAGCTTGATCAACACCGTGCTGCATAAGAATATCTTAAACCGTACACTGATATACTGTAAAATTTATCTTGCCACTGAATGGCGGAATATCGAACTTCGGAACCGAAGAAGTCATCATCCTCTAACCACAACCAAAATTCAAATCAATCACTATAAAGATTGAATTTGATAAAACTAACATAAAAAATAAACTCAGCACGTCGAAAAACCTTAGGAATGATTCTTGGATCATACAAATTAACCTCCAAACCCTCAATCAAAAGACAAATCAATCTGTACCGTCGGATTTGATTTAATAGCTTGTAACCAAACCCTCACCCATGTGAACAGTGCTTCAACACTATTATATTCCTGCCGCTATAGTATTTTTAGTACTGCAATACTTTTTCCCCCCAATATCGATCACCACGCTTTGACTACTGATGCCTTCACCAATTGCACACCGCTCAAACCTCCACAGACTGTCGAATCTCTCTCTAATACCACTTATTAGGATTTTTAGATCTCACACGAGATTTAACATGGAAACCCTCAATAGGAAAAAACCACGGGGTCGAAAACAATCCACTATCACCTCCAAATTACAATCTTTTACACAGATAAATACTATCAAACCCTCTCTCTCTCTCTCTCACAATACCCTTGAACCTTGTTACACCCTCTGTTAAATCTTGATTACAAGAATATTATCTCTCTCTCCTTCTCTCAACCTCTAAACCCTAGAATAAGGTGTCTTATTTAAAGGCACCCCTAACTTGTCCACCAAGTTAACTTGGCCTCTAAGAAAATTACTAGGACTAATGCTAGCCTTCAAACCCGCATCCGACTTGGAGTTTGAGTCGGTACCCAACAGGCTTGACAATTATAATTTTATATTCTAAATTTTTATACAGAGGAAATGACATCACATAGTGTATAATTTTAGCTTGATACACTATCAAGCTTTGTGCATGTAGATGACTCTAATCGAAAATCTACCAAATTGAAAGATTGTGTATGTTTGTATGTTCATATAATCAATTGTCATTCAGTCCGGAGCATTTAATAGTTTGATACTAGTAATTTTCATATTATTTCAAATAAGTATTTGTTCATCTATTCATCATAGACCTCAACTCCAGGTTTGAGCACAGAAAACTCTCAAGTTTAATCTAGTTCATAACAAATTACCAAACACAAAAAGGTGTTGTGCACTGTGCAGAAGCCAAACAACTAAACATGCTTTGAGAAACCAAATACCAAACGTTAAGATAAAGGCCAAATCAACCAAATCAATGCCACAAACACAAACAAACCAATTTTAACGTGGTTCGGCAAGTTGCCTACGTCCACGGGGCAAGAATGAGATGGAGTTTTCACTAATAGAGAAGAAGAGTACAAATTGAGATTAGAAATCACTCGAAGGAACAAACTAATCTCACCAACAAAGCTCTTAAAAATCTCCAAATAAACCCTAATCAAATAGCTCAGAAAATACATCTTTTCTGTGCTCCAAATATCCCTAATTCAAGCATTCCAAACCCTAAAAATCGTGTTCCTATTTATACCAAAACAGAAACCTAAATAGAATCCAAATAGGAACTCTAACTGTGTAGAAAACCCACTATAAGTCGACTTAACAGGGTGTATAAATCGACTTGGTAGAGAGAAAACAACAACTGGAGAACAGATCGTAAGTTGACTTACCATCGACTTACCACAAGTCGACTTAACAGGCTTCACAAGTCGACTTAACAGAGCCAAAACCAATAATTTCAGAACAGAACGTAGGTCGACATACAATCGACTTACCATAAGTCAACTTATGCCTGTGCATGAGTCGACTTATGATACAGAATCTGCACAATCTGGACCAAATCTCTGATTTCTCCATAAATCTCTACCTCGATAAAGTTTTCCCAAAACTGAGCCGACACCAACCAAACCAAATGCCTCACTTGTTGTGTCTAGTATGAAGTGAAACGATTCATGACAACAAACTCAATCTACAACAAGTCGAGACCCAAATGAGAATGCGAACACTCTCAAAACATCGGTATCTACTCACCAAATTGACTGCTTCATAAAGACTGTCTACGTATCCTCTTGCCCTAGGAATCAAGCATTCACATAGTTCACCCAAATGGCCTCTAAAGACCCTCAAACAAATAGAAAAGTCTGTAACTCGTCACCAAAATCACCAACGGATCAACAACTGATAGCGTTCCTAATGGCCCCAAACTGAAACGTATCAAACACCTCCATCTGAGGTGAACCAATGGCCGTATCCAAATTATGTCCATCAGCTACAACCGAATCCAAAACCAATCCATCATCTGTATCAAAATCCAAATGATTCCTAACCTGTGTCACCTCAGCTGGAATCCCAAACGATATAGTATGATCTGGAGTATGTGGAGCAATCTCTACCCAATGTGAAGTAGCATCACCCTCCACCTGCTATGATATCCAAATGACCTGATCAACACTCTCCACTTGCCAAGAGTCAAAAGTTACATACCTGCTCAGAACAAAATCAAAAGCTCCCAATCGATAATCAAACAAGCCTATGAATCCCAAACACGCAATCGGATCAAATCTTACATCCACGATGTGACCAAATACTAGGTAACTAAATATTCGACGCTACCCAAAATATGAAGCAACTCGACCAGATCCAATAACTCCAAATACAGCAGTCGGTAACCTATGACTAAGATGACCCAAATATGTCGAAGCTCCAAAACCAAAACCAATGCTCGACAACCAACACCGACCCCCCTTCAGTAAGGAACGACGTATCAAAAACGTCATCTCATCTCGTCGTCCCAATATCTCCATATCAATAAAGTATCTCAAACAGCCATGAGCTCGGTACAAATACAAGAAAGATCCCCTACAAAAGCTAGAATGATGGGTTACCTTTCTGTCAATACACTTTTTTCAATTGTTATTGACTTCTAGGACTTTACACCAATGGGAACTGGTCTCGATCCAATAATACCTAGAACAATCACCAACTGCGAAAACCAAATGTCGATTACCTCCCAATGATGCCTCCTTGGAAGGCCCCCTAACACCTGACTGAACACCTTCTAAAGGACCCCTCGATCGATGGATAGAAGTGTCAAACTCCACCGTGGTCTTTCTCATACCAACGTGCTCAAAGGAGTTCAAACTGCAGGTCAAAGCACTCCTCAACAAACAATGCACGACATAACCAATCAAATAACCCAGCCTCAACAAATGCCACAGTCTAGCTAAATCCAAAGAAGTCGTCATCTCTCTATCAAACACCGTGCTCCTAATCAAATAATATAAATTATTCCTCCTGACGCCCTTCATCACAATCATGGACCCAATTGTGACCTTTAAACATGCACCTACCAAGGTTACCATATAGCCTACTACTTCCAAAGCTCCAAGTGAAATGATGTTCTTCTTCAACTGAGGAACAAACCTCACTCCAACCAACTCCCGTATCACTCTGTCACTCATCCTAATCCGAACGGTACCAATACCACAAATAGGACATTCATGATCATTACCCATTAGTATAAAATCCCCTCTTTTCAACTCCTGAAAGCTGGAGAACCAATCACTCGTAGGGCAAATATGGTATGTAACACCCGAATCTAATATCCACTCTGTAGAGTTAGCAACACAAACTGACGACAGTGCAGATAACAAGTAACCCAAAGAATCTAAATCTGAATTGTTGCCACTAGACTTGACAGCATTCACCTCTGAAGCTTGAATAGCTTTTCCCTTATTCTTCCCGGCTCGATCAACTAGCTTTGGACATTCGGCTTTTCAATGTCCATCTTTTTTATAAAAAGCACACTGATTCCTATGAATTCTAAGATGTGCCCTCTAAACTATGACCTTCTACCACGGTTCGAACTCTTTGCTCTTGCGATCAATGTCCCCCGCTACCGGCTCAACTGAAGTCTCCTTATCCTTCTTTCGAAGCTGATAATTCACAAGTGCAGAGGTGACCTCACTATACGAAAGAGATGTCTTTCCATTAATAAGAGTAAGAACGAAGGTCTCATATTTCTCATCAGATAAGGAACTCAACAATAACAACGCCTTGTACTCATCTTCAATCATCACATCTACATTCGCCAAATCCACAAGAAACTTCGTGTAGTGGTTCATGTGATCACCAATGGAGGTCCCCTTCTTCAATTGGAAGCGATAAAGCCTCCTCTTTAAATACAAGTGGTTCTCTACACTCTTGGTCAAATACTTGCCCTCTAGGATTTCCCAAATCTTCTTAGCCGAAGTCTCATTGATCATATCATATTTTAAATCTTGTGTCAAATAAGATCTAATCACACCACACGCCGTTCGATTCATATTTTTCTAAACCTTCTCATCAATGTCGTCCGGTTTCCCATCGAACTCCAACGTATATTCCAAAATTTGCGCGTTGAGCGCATCCAAGACTTCGCATCGCCAAATTCCAAAATTGTTTGTTCAATTAAATTTCTCCACATCAATCTTCATCGAGTGGATATTCAAACTTTGGATGGTCTTCACGCCGGAAGTACCCTCCACAACTCCTTCTTTCTTGGTTATCTTTCTCAATGCACCAAAACAAATACGGAACAAATGAAGAATAGATCCAAACTAGAAAAGATAGAGTCTTTACTAAAAAGATCCCACCTTTATCACCAAACGAAGCCTTAGCCGAACTTCCAAAATGATCTACTCCTCCAAATAGCCCAAGCGTAGCCTGAGCTCTGATACCAATTGTTGTGCGCTGTGCGGAAGCTAAACAACCAAACGTGCTTTGAGAAACCAAATACCAAACATCGAGATAAAGGCCAAATCAACCAAATGAATACCACAAATACAAACAAACAAATTTTAATGTGGTTCGGCAAGTTGCCTTCGTCCACGAGGCAAGAAGGGGTTGGGGTTTTCACTAATAGAGAAGAAGAGTACAAATAGAGATTAGAAATCACTCGAAAGAACAAACTAAACTCACCAACAAAGCTCTTAATCTCTCCAAATAAACTCTAATCAAATAGCTCAGAAAATACATCTTTCGTGTGCTCCAAATATCCCCAATTCAAGTCTTCCAACGCTAAAAATCGTGTTCCTATTTATAAAAAAAAAACCTAAATAGAATCCAAATAGGAACTCTAATTGTGCATAAAATCCGCTATAAGTCGACTTAACAGGGTGTATAAGTCGACTTGGCAGAGAGAAAAACAGTAACTGGAGAACAGATCGTAAGTCGACTTACCATCGACTTACCACAAGTCGACTTAACAAGCTTCACAAGTCGACTTGACAGAGCCAAAAACAACAATTCCAGAACAGAACGTAAGTCGACTTACCATTGACTTACCATAAATCGACTCATGTCTGTGAATGAGTCGACTTATGACATAGAATCTGCACAATCTGGACCAAATCTCTGATTTCTCCACAAAAGGTTCATATATGTTATAATAATCAATCTTAATTGGGCCTCAATGCTGTTAATTTTTCACGTTATTAAGTATTCATTTAACTTCTCATGCTACCGAGTTAATTTTTTCAGGTTTATGTCAGCTTGATAAAATGTTGCAAACTAACCACTCTCTCACAAAACCTTCATTTTTCTTTAACAGACAGTAAATGATGTGATCAGTGGCATAATTTTCCACGGCGTACAACTCTACTTGCAATCTGCAGCTAAAGACACAACAGAATCTGCAAAAGTTACAGCATTAGTCTTGCTCAACACGAGGATCATTGGAAGTTATCAACCTCTTCACGAGATGACGAAAACTGGTGCAAAGTCCCCTTGGGGAAATCAATTTGGATTCCTTCATGTAGGAATTCCTAATTGTAGAGATGCAGAGAAAGTTAACCCTTTAGAATTTGTGCAGAAAGCGAGGGAGATCATTAAGCAGAAGAGGAGCTCTCTTGCAGTCTATTTCACTGGCAGATTGCTGGAAATGCTAAGGAGACTAATAGGTCCAGAGGTAAGAATCATTTTAATAGACGGTACATTTTCTTATGATATGCATTCTGTGACATTCGATTGATCTTATGCTAGGACTAAATATCAGAACATGCTGAAATTTGATTTATCTTATGAATCACTAGATTTTGATGAATTAGATAGGTTAAAAAACTGAAACTTCATACTTGTTTTCTTATCTTTTCTCTTGACAGGGAACTGCAAAGTACATACATTCAACACTAAGAAACACAAGTATGACAATTTCAAACTTGACCGGACCAATGGAGCAAATGATCATCGCTAACAATCCAATTAGTAGCTTCTATTTCATGGTTGTTGGCGTTCCACAGGTAAAAAGGACGGAGAGACATGAAGATGAAAATAATTTCAGTTTATTATTATTATTCTTTTCCTAATCTTGAATTTATTATAGTTTGTCTAATGATATTTTTTTTGTTTGTTATCGATCAGAGCCTTACTATAACAGTTGTTAGCTACATGGGGAAGCTGAGGGTGGCAATGGGAGTGGAGAAAGGATTCATAAATCCCAATCTTTTGGTCTCATGTATGGAGAAGTCGTTTGAAAGGATTTTTGAAGCAGCTCTTGGCATGAAGCCATGAAAGTTTCGGATCATTTCTCAGTTATTTCTCATAAATTGTTTTAATAACCTTTATATTGTTTATTCGTATGTGGTTTCTTTCTAAATATGAAGTATGTGTTAAGGTCTTTGGAAAAATACTTACAAATTTTTTCGCATAGGCTAACAGATTTGTCGTATGGATTGTGTGTTGGATATAGCTAATGATGACTGCATTTGCAAATCTAATTTGATTTTTCTAATGACATTGTCCAAATTAATTGTCATATATATACAATTCCATCATCAATCTTATGAACAGTATTCATGTTAGAGATTCACTACGCTAATCAAGCTAACCACATAATTCGCAATATGTGTCTAATGAAAGATTAAAAAAAACACAAATGAATAAAAAAGAGAAAATCAAACCAGCGCTGAGATTTTGTGAAGTTCAAATCCCAAACTAGTGGTGTATTTTCAGCAGAGCAGAACCAGCAATAATTAACCCACTATATTTTGTCACGATAATTCATGGGCTACGCTATAGGGGGAAGAGTAGTCTACAATTTAGAAGTTTAAACGTAATTTGTAAAGGATAGCCCAGTGCTTCCTACGCTCTGGGGAGGTTTTTAGATATAAAATATCTAAAATGTAAAGATCCAAAATTTGTAAGTGTATATGTTAAAAATATCTAAAATTTAAAAGTAATTATTAAAGAATAAAAAGGTGCGGTCTTCAGGCTTATGTTAAAGGCAATTCTCTAACATGTGCGGCGCTATTAAATTAATGGCAAAGACGAGGAAATTCAATGGGAAGAAGGTGGTGATTATAGGATCCGGGGCTTATTCAACCCCTCATGATGTTGTTTTCGTGAAAACCCCTTGACCCCTCATGGTCCTAGTTCATCCATATCCGGCGAAGTATAATTTGAGTTACAAAGGTCCTCAATATGGAGCTCCATTCAATTCAAGTATGGCACAATGACCTGTTTCTACTAGGGGTTCTACCCATTCATGGGTTGATGTAGCTGAGGAAGATGATGGTGAATTGGAAGCCATCTTCATCAATGGTGAAGGAATTGCTCATGAATCTTGTCCAAATGAATTTCCTCGTAAGGCTCTGATGTATGACGCATAACAAGCAAATTAATGGAGGAATGAGACCTTCACAAGCCTAATGCAGATGCGGATGAATAGTTTACTTACTCGCTAAGAAAAAATCATGTCTCCAAATACATACGGTAGAAACTAACATATTGTATATGAAAATCATCTATCTTGACAAGATGAAGCCATCTAAATTGACAGTTTCTTGAAATCATAACAGTATCACCCGTTTTTGGTGAAATCAAAAATAGTCAACATTTAGTTTAGTTTTAGTAATAATGTTAGGAAATGAATTTTCAATTTTAATTTATGTTGGACTAATTTGTTTCCTATAATACTCTATTATAGGGAGTCTTTTTAGGACATGATTTAATACATTCTATTTCTTTGTAATTCTAGTCTTTTTAGTACATGATTTAGTAATAATGTTAGGAAATGAATTTTCAATTTTAATTTATGTTGGACTAATTTGTTTCCTATAATACTCTATTATAGGGAGTCTTTTTAGGACATGATTTAATACATTCTATTTCTTTGTAATTCTAGTCTTTTTAGTACATGATTTAGTAATAATGTTAGGAAATGAATTTTCAATTTTAATTTATGTTGGACTAATTTGTTTCCTATAATACTCTATTATAGGGAGTCTTTTTAGGACATGATTTAATACCTTCTATTTCTTTGTAATTCTAGTATTATTAGAAGCTAGTTTATTTTTCTATTTAAGAAGATACATGTAAACCCAAAAGTATTAGATAACTTTTGATCAATAAAATTCCTCTTTATTTTATTTTCTTCATGGATTCAAAGATAGTTCTTTGTTGATACAAAGAGCACCTCTTGGTGGATTCCGAGTGATACAGGTGTATCTTCTTCTCTGCTTCGGGAACTTAGTGATCCTCATAGGAGCTTGAGAATAGATGATTCTCATGGTAGCTTGAGAATAGAAGCGTGGGCAGAGACGCGGATGGCGGCGAAAATGGTCAAAATCAGGAAAACGGTGAAAATCAAGAAGCTGGCGATAAGGTTCTGGCCGGTTGACCGAACAACCAATACTAGTCGACCGAAGTAGCACATTTGGTTGACCTAATGATCAACATCAGTCGACCAAAAATGTGCACCTATAGACTCGATAAATAAGCTTTCTGGTCGGTCGACCAATAGGGGCATACCGATCGACCGTCGGGGTTTCCTAGGCCTAATTGGACTCTTGTTTTGACGCGAATCCAAGTTGTGTTTGGCTTGGGTATTTACAATTTTATCATCCACATTGTTTAACATATAAATAAGGATTTTTTAGGATTTTTAAACATGAGAAAAAAAGTTTAGTGAGGATAGAGAAGTTGTTCTTTATTCTAGAGAGATTGTGAGAGAGATTTTATAATTTTTTATTCTTCTTAATCTAGAGAAGATATTTTCCTTCGCTAAATTAAACTATTCTTGTGTTTGCTGTTTTCTTCTCAAAACCCAGCTTTGATAATTCTGTGATCAAAAGTGCTTGAACGGCAGCTCGTATCAAGTTTGTATCAAAGCGATCAGATCCTGTGAAGGGGTATCTTATGTATGGTCCTTACTCGATCGCAATACAAGAAGCTAGGAGAGATTCTTATTTCTTTGGAAAAAGTCTAGAAATTAAGGAAGAAGAAGATGACAGAAAGCGATAATAAGTTCGACTCTCATGAAGCTCATCGATCTCTTCCACGAAGGTGAAAAGAAAGGTGAATCTTCGGTAGGGCCTAAGAAGAAACCTATAGAATCTAATGGAGGTAGTGAGAATTCAGATTCCAACGAGGAGGTCGAGGCCGTCAAGACTATTCTGCAACAAGGGGGTAAAAGTTCTTACCAGAATCAGAAGAATAAATTCGGAGTTCAGATTCTTGTTTATGATGGGAGTGTTAACGTTGAGAGGCTTGATGATTGGATCGAGCATATAGAGACCTATTTCACTCTTTATAGCTATTCGTCAAAGGAAAAGATTGTTTTTGCGACATTGAAGCTTTCCGGGCACGCGTTGATGTGGTGGAAATCCTACTGAAAAAAGGAGAAGAAATTAATTTCGTGGAACAGGTTCAAGGAGCTACCGAGGAAGCAGTTCTACCCGGTGTGATTCCTTAAAGAGCGTTGGTACAAGTGTGTTTGCGTCGAAAGTTAGTGTATTCATTGTGGTATTCATTACAACTTTAGTCGTTACAATAAAAATAAAAAAATAGTCTTTTTATAAGACTCTTACACAATGAAAACAAAAATTACAACTCTCATCAAAACAAACGCAGAGAGATTGTTTATCGGTCTTCTGCTTGTACGGGATCTTTGCCTGTGCTAGGGATTTTAATATCCGTGGACCGCCTTAGATCTGAATTCGGTTGATGGAAAATTAGGCAGAACTTCACCTTCACCGAGGGAGTATTTGATTGAAGCGCTGAAATCGACCAAGCGAAATCAGTAGCTCTTCTCAAGATTAAGACAAAGCCTAATCTCAAGGAACGGATCTCGCTAACCCTCACTAAAATTCATGACTCTTAGCTCTGGAGTTCGACAGTACCTCCTCGTCTTGATAATAAATCGCCCCCGCTGAAAGGAGGCCCTAAGTTTGTATTTATAGGGCTCCGGATGCGGGTATGTGGATAAAAATGATGGATTCCTTCTTATCTTTTGTTAATAACTGATTAACCATGTTTAGAGATAGGATTTAGGCAGTTAGGAACCTCTGAAATAGAGAAGATCTCGTGAAAACCCGTCGAAACTGTCAAAAACGTGTTTTTGGGTAAAACCTGTGCGAAACACCCTGCTGACCCGCGGAGGGCGCGGGTCGGCTCGGTTCGACCCACGTGGGCCGTGACCGCGCGGGCACGGGTTCGTCTTTGGTCTGACCCGCGCACCCGGGGCCGCGGATTAGCTTGTCCGACCCGGCGCGGGCGATGGTGGCCGCCGGTTCGACCGCGCGGACTTGCGCGGGGGTTTGGCGTTTTTGCTGAGTTCTTTGGTGTTTTTGGACTTTTCTGAGACTTGTATTTTCCACCGTTTTACGTGTTTAACCATCTTGTTTACTTGTACAATTTGCTAACTTACTTCATGTGATCGTTAGCTTCTTTACGGCACTTGGAATTGACCGATAAGCGCAAGTTGACTGATGAGTACAAACTGATTAACGCGTGTGTGTTGACCGACGTACGCAAATTGATTGACGCGCGTGTGTTGACCGACATGCGCGAACTGATTAACGAGCGCGTGTTGACCGACGTGCATGAACTGATTGACACGCGCGGGCCACTTGGTTCGTCGTTTCGCTTCATGTGCTTGTCGATGACAGATAATCCTCTTAGACTCGGATAACGACGTTCGTTGTCTTCTCTCCGTCTCGAGCTATGTACGGACACCTATAGGCATTTTTAGATGCCTACAGATAACCCCTCCAAAGCATTTCAGACTTATTTCTTTTATAGAAGAGTCTGGAAGCATTTGGATAAGATAAGCCTTTTCCTCAATTTCGTAGAGGGACCTATGAAATGCTTCAATTCTTGACTTCTTCAGCCTTCAGTCTATTCAGTGTTTTGTCGAATAGATGAAGTTTTTCCGGCGTTGCGTTTATCGTCTGACCGTTGTCGAAATCTTGAATTGAAGTTGGTGTGGAAGTTTCTAAACTTAGCTCGTGTCATTGAGTTGACTTTGAACTAATCATCTTCATCAAAAATTCATATCTGAATCCGTTTGAACTCCCTGAAATCATCGTTTGCCTTATTTTGGTGAGATTACTGATGCGTTGACCGGCATCAATCTTTACTGTAACGCATTGACCGATGTTAACACAGTTTATACTCGTACGTTTGCTGGAGTCTACACAGTTTAAGCTCTTAAGGTATTGGAGCGTGGTGGTCTCAAATTCTGGGCTGTAGGACCAACTATTAAAGTTGTTTCGTCTACAGATATGGACCTTATCCTGAAGTCATTGAATGCTCAAGTTACAAGACCAACTAATGAAGTTGATGCGTTAATGCCCCGTATTTATAGAATTTTTAGCAAATTCTCAGCCATCAACGGGTTTGATTAGTCTTTATCGACTACAGTTTGAGTCGGGCTAGCATGCAGATTGT